GGTTCAAAATATACCTCGTGATATCGCACTGTACCTTACCGTATGTGGTAGACCAGGTTATATAATGATCGCATGCCGTTTTTTTTTTTTTTTTTTTGTTGGAGCTTGTCGTGTATTCCACCCTTCGACCCTTTGTCTCGCTTATCTGTGAGTAGTCTCAAAAGCAACAGACAATAAAAGCAAACAAAACACACTGAAAATTTAAATCAATCAAAGGAAAATACTCGGGTTGCCTCCCGAAAAGCGCTTGTTTAAAGTCATTAGCTTGACCCCTTTGCGTTTACTCAGATTCAGGATCAGAGAGAGGTAAGGAACCTCTTACTTCTTTTGGATTCTCTGGGTTGTAATGTTTCAAACGTTGGCCATTTACTTTGAATGTTTCACCTTTGTGGTTGCAGAGTTCTATGGCGCCATGTGGAAAAACGTTAACGACGCGAAATGGTCCGGACCATCGTGATTTTAGCTTCCCTGGAAAAAGCTTTAATCGTGAGTTAAATAACAAGACCGAATCATTTACCTTGAAAGTTCTGTAGTCATGCGATCATTATATAACCTGGTCTACCACATACGGTAAGGTACAGTGCGATATCACGAGGTATATTTTGAACCTAAACTCTTGTGAATTCCATGGTTATGTTTTTTTCGGACGAGTATTTAACATCGGGACGATGCATAATTCAAGTCTGGGGGACGCTCTAATGATCGCTATTGGTTTTATTGTGTCTCATGTTTTGCATTGCATACATATGTCTTGTTGAAAAAAAAAAACTAGGAATATTTGTTTTTTCTCTCGTTTCTGCATATGTTTGGGAATTAACAAATATGACTCAAATGATTTTGAACTTAAACTTCATATAAGCCAGTCTTTACATGTTTTAGACGATTGGGTAAATTGTCGGTTAAATCGAATCGATGACTAACCTTCATTGGATTTTTGGTCTTGATTATCGGAAATAAATTGCATTAGATTTCAAAGACAAGATATCGAACCAAGTATTAGCACTTCTTTTAAGAACTGTTCCTCATTCAAGGGAATATGAGGCCCGCAAGACCTACTCGTTGCTCGCACCTTTTTATTCCACTCTCATTCTTGAGGACGAGTAGGCAACCGAGCGAGTAGTGCGGGGGTGGCGACAATCATCACGTTGCGAAAGGTAAAACTCGGTTCATTCCCAAAAACATGATTTTTCCTTATAGACCTCATATTATTTGCTTACATATACAAATGGAAAAAGGAAAAGAAAAGCCAAGTTCTGAAAAAAATGAAAAAAAAGAGAAAACTGAAAAAAATAACAAAAAAAAAAAGAGAAAAAAAAACCATCGCCAAATGGTCAACAATTTGAGCCAAATAACTATCCATGCCCGATGAGTTGGTCGATTGTTGTCTGATCATATTATTAACTTCACAACTTCCACAAAATGTGTCCAAAAA